TCTATGTCTGCTCGTTCTGGCTTCGATTTGTTATTAATTACTGGTGCCAATCAACTGGCAAAACTTCTGGCTACCTAGAGTTATCATTTCTAATAGCAACAAATACAATAAGAAAATAATTTTTTCAGTCAAATACACATGGTTCTCACCATGGAAATCATAAAAGTAGCCTTTACGGACATCTTTGAGTCTTCAATCATCGAAGGAAACGATTCCTAGCCTTGTCGTGGTAGATTTCCCGTATGAATCAAATGATCCATACATGCATTTTCTTCCTGTTTTCCATTTTCTTGCTCTTCTTGTTCATTTTCGCCCCTTGATCTGACGTTACTTTAGTCATGAGGCTTCTCTGCCTTGGACGAAAAAAAAAAAGGCCCCGACCCGGCAGACCCGCCATTTTGAAAATTGGCCTCAGCGGTCTTCAAATATTCGTATATGTATTACGTAATACGTCATAAATTGTCGTAAGTCTTTAAAGCCTGACATCAGTGTCCATATCTCCTATTTTCTAAGGTACTAGGAAGGAGAATTTGTTAAATAATCCAGACCTTCTGTAGTTGTTGATCATAATATATTTTTCTTGTGACCCTAACATTCCATGGGTGATAATGCGAGGAAAACTTAGATGTAGATGTTCGTCTGCACAGTAAGTATACCAGTAACACATAGTCCAATAAACAGTTAACAATTAGGGAAAGGAAAAAAGACCTTTATCAGGTGGAACGTTCTACACTCATGGACTTGCATGTTGACTGCTGGAGTTCAATCCTTAAGGAAATCACGATGTCAAGGAGTATTTCAATGAAAGTACGAAATTCTTATACCATTTATTCATAGCCAAATCATATTATGCCTTAATTAGTTTACTTAATTTAAAGTATAGTTTTCCATTCCTTTTTTTTTTCTTCTGATGTGTTAATAATGATAACGACGACGACGATGATAATAATTTATTAGGAGGATTCCAATCATCTGAAGGTGATTTTCAGGAGGGTCCCCTAAAAATAAAAAAATTAAAACTATGATAAAAGATGACATTAAGGACTAAGACTACAAACTAAGATTTAAAATTGAGAAATAAAAATACTAACTAGAGGTTAAAAATAGTTCAATAGAATCTGTATCAATTTTTTGTTAAAAAAAAAGATAGTTTTTGGCATCAGTCTCTTGAACTCACCCAGCAGTAAGGTCTAATAATTGTTTATTGCTGATTTATAATATGTTTTGTTTCTGCCCCATTCTGTTCTTTGTCTGCTGACTTTTGACATGTAACCATTTTGGGTATTATAACCATGTGGTTGGTTCATTGTAGAACTGAGCACATCAAGATGTTCAGTGATCTGACCCTTTAATGCATTTTATTTACACTTTGATCCTCTTAGTTTTCGAACTATACCCGAACCTGCTCGCTTCAAAGTTTTCATGAATAATAATCATGGACCATGAACTAGGAGGTCAAATCCCATTTGCTAGAAACAAATCATGCTTTATTTTTTACAGCTGATTGAAGTGAGAGGGAGGCGAAGCGGGGCTTTTTCAATGCAGCTTAAATTAATCTGTACACCCTAACATCAGTACAGTATGTATATATTTTCCCTACTGTTCTCTATACGTTTCCTAAGATGCTTACAAGGAGAATTTGTGTAACAATCAAGAGTTTTTTAAGCTGGTGATCATTTCCTTTTTATTCTTAGGTCACCTCAATGTGTGATTCATGAATGACACTATAAAGAGAAATGAGTTTCTCTTCACTCTTTGGGTAAAAACACTAGACAATGAAATAAAAGTGGAATAAGAACTCCCTTTTTCAACTTACAAAATATGCATGTGCACACATATTATAATTATGTTGATGTTTTAAACTCCCATGAGTGACCAAGACAGAATTTCTCCTTAAT